TTTATTTAGCCGATTGATTAAATATACTGCTGTTACTTTAATACATGTAAATCTTTAGACAAAAAATATTAAAGTATTAATTAAACATAGCTGTATTATTATATTTGAATTACATATTGAAGTAATTTCAAAGAAAATAATTGCATAATATTAATAAATAATGCAGGTATACACAAATTCCTAAATACGCAGGCATTCATACTTAAATTTAAGAAAGGATAGGGAAAGCTACAAAAAGACAAACCTGGAGAGTGACCCAAAGAAAGTTTCAGAAGCGACGTCATAAATCATACCTTACTCCATCTCTTGACAAAATTACTCTTCAGTAACACCATCAAAAGTAATGCACTCCCAGAAGTTATACTAACTGTATTATACGCATACGAAAAAAATGTGATGGTTAACAATATGAATAATTTTATTTGGATGCAATAAATAGAGGTAATTGTGCAGCACGATGTTACACAAGTAATGCTAATACCTTGCGTAGACTTCACGCCTGGTACAACAGCATGGTACAACCATGGTAACGCATGGTACAACCGATATGGCGCATAGTGCTTAAATCAAGTTCCGCGGTATGTCGGTCATGCTTCTTCAACCCTTTGATGTAGAGTGAACATCTCTTGTTGGTAGATAATAACTGTACCTTTCCATGGTGGATTGGAGACAGTTCCGTTGCTCTGGCCGGGCAAAGTGAAGCTTTTACATTCTGTAGAGCAGGATTTCTTAAGCTGTGAGTCGCGACTTGCAGCAGGGGTCGCCAAAACTTTTAGCAGTTTTGATATTTCTTTAACTTATTTATAATAATTTTACAATTACCAAATATTGTTACACAATGTATTTAAAAATAGATAAAGATTAGACAATACAGACAAATAAAAAAACGAAAACGTTTCGACGCATTCCTTTTATAATATAAATGTTCATTTTCCTTGCTTTGCACGTTACTCTGTCATTTCGTCTGTTACTTATTTAAAATTTTTCACATTGTTCTATGTCTTAAAATTAGAAATTAAAGTTAATGACCTAAAACTGCAATAGTGTATTACAGTACAAGTGAAAAGATTGACAGTTTCACTCACGCGTGTGTCAGATTTTCGCAATACATATGGGGTTCCACAAAATTTGTATAAATATTATGGGGTCCTGGGGATCGCGAAAAGGACTCAGTGATAAAAGGGGTTCGCGACTGGGAAAAGTTTAAGAAACCCTACTGTAAAGTATCTACGGCAACACAGCTGCGTGTTTCCGCAGTGCCATTTTGGAATACTTTGTAAGGTTTATCCTAACTTTCTAACAATTCTTTTTTAGTTAAAGCGATTTTCCTGTCCTTTCTAAATTTCAGCTTACAATTTCCTGCCAGAACGTGTTTTCAGAATCGCGGTTAAATGCAAATGAAGGAAGTGCAAGTATTTAAAGTTGAAGTTCTACAGACTACCAGAGATGCTGGGCAGCGCGCGTTGGCCTTTTTGGCTGCTCTCTCTCTAAAGCTATTTTTACGTTCGGCCGTACTTTAGGCTCTTGATAGCTTCGCCGTTGGTTAGCGTTGAGGTGTGGAATCTTGATAGCTTCGGCTATATCTCTTTAGCTTAGTTAAGTTTTATTCTTAGTATTCCTGAGTTCAAGCCAAAGTGGAGGCTTTGCTGTAAACTCCAAGAAGGAGTCATCTGTTAAATTTATTTTGAATAATAAAGGACAATTAAAAATTGAAAAATATCGTACATCTACGTATATAAAATGCACATATGTGTTTTTCAAGTTTGGAAAGAAAGGAAGGAATGATCTTCTAACAATGCTGAGGCGGGTTCATGGGAAAAACAGACAAATAAAAAATCATTGATCTAGGTCATTAAAATTGTTCTCGACTAGCTTCTACATTTCTGCACATAATGTTGTGGAACATTTCGTTTTTATCTAATTAAAGGATAATGAACTGACTGGGCTTTTGGATCTGTGAGGATCATATTACAAATAAATCAGATTTTGCATTTTTTAGAAGTCCCAGGCGCACAACGCTGAAACTGTTTTAACAAAATATTTTATCTTATTTTAAGAGATGCATTGTAACAGGTAGTATATATCTTGTATTAAGTAGTATATTTAAGCAAATAAAGTATGTAGCCATATTTCTCGAATTCCCTCTATATGTGAGAGACAATGTGAGAGACATTTTTTTGAGTCGTATCGAGATAGCAGTCGCGGAAGCCGAACGTACAGCACACATTCTCAAAAAACGTAAGAGGTTTAGACTTAATAAGCTTAAAATTCAAATTATAGACGAAAATTTTTTAATGTTATGACAATCTGAAATGAGTTATTAATCTTAAAAACCAAGAGTTTTTCTGTTCTTTCTATGACATCTCTTTTAAGAGGGATGAAAATCATGACAAGGTAATCATTTACTGTCGCAAATCAAAAGGTAAAGAAAAAGGGTATATTACTTCTCCCAGATGGATCAGCTTCATGATGTAAAAATTAGAAAATTATTGCTATATGTAATTAAAAATGGCTTGTAGTACAAATATTACACCTTTAGAGGAAGCTATGAAGTTGCTTGAAGCGCTACTGAAGGGTTCTGTGAAAGTGGTTATAGGATTTATTGGCACTTTTTTGTTAAAAAAGTACTTGGAGTTAAGTCTCTTATGCTAAATATGCTTTTTGTTTATATACTTGGAAATTTTGTCAATTAAGAAGACAAGGGAGATAAAATTGCAGAAAATGAAATTATAATAGACTCTGTAACAGTTAACCAGTCATCTCTGTCAAAATTAATTTTACAAGAGACGCAAAATGTTATTTCTTCACTGCAGAACAAGAATACGGGCTTTAGCTTTTTTCTTTTCTTTTTTTCTTTTCTTTTCTTTCTTTCTTTTTTTTTTTTTTAAATTCAAGTGGACTCAGTTGTTTGATTCTAACAACACCATTTGAAAAAAAAAAAAAAAAAAAAAAAAAAAAAAAATTGCTTACAAAAATAAGATTTGTTGCTTAATTTAGAGGCTGATAATTTTCCGTACAAAATAGAAATAGCTCCCTCTTGTACCTATAACTTCGATAGCAATGTTGTTTTTGAATCCATTTTTTCTTAAACTGAAAAATTTCTCTTTTGAAACTTTTATCTTAAATCATATAAAGAATTTGTAGTCACGAAATTTTCTTACGTTACTATTACATTTCATGCATTTTCAGTTAAGAAAAATTTTACTCAGTAGAACCTTGGTCACGAATGCCTTTCATAGAGAACAAATTTTTTGAACCAAAAAGAATTTCGAGTGACGAAATGTGTGTCGAGTTCCAAACACCTAAACTAGCAACAAATGATTTCCAAAGGGCGTTTCGAGGTAACTTCTGATAAAGTAGTATTTTCCATCGTTTAATTTTCACTCACAAAATCTGGCAACGAGGGACATACAGGACCATGAAATCGGCCTAGAGGACATTTATGGCCATTTGACATTGATATTGTATCTCTAAGGATAAACCGTGGACTTGGAAAATTAATAAACAAGACTAGGAAAAGCTTCTACAGGACCACAAAAATTAGCTCAACCCGAAAGAACTGGAACAACTTCATTACAAGCAACAACAAATGATGATAGTGAAATAAATGTCTTCAGAAAAGTAAGTGATGATAATCTAATGATTTTTTATTCCTGAAATTAGTCCAAAATGATATAAAATGTAGCACTCCACAGAACTGTATTACCCTGATAAAGAAAAAGCAAGCCACAACATAAGCATTTTCAAAGGTAGTGCTATAAGTCTCACTTTAAACCCATTTCAAAACACAAACAAGGAAGAAAAAAGAAAGCCCCCGGAAGATGTTACATGATGTTTCTATGGAAGGGTGACTACTTTTCAAACTTTTTATCTATTTACTACTATTTTTTCCATTTTTTATTCTTGGATTTAATGATTTCCATTAGTATTTGTGTTATGAATTTGCGCACAAAGTGTACTATTTTAAAAGTTGAAATAAGCAAAAAATTATGGTCTAGAAATGAATTAATCTGTTTACACTAATTTCTATGCGAAATTTGTTTCAGTTTACTAAAATTTCGGATGACGACTGGTCTTTGGAACGAATTACATTCGTAAACCGAGGTTTCATTATACTTGTGTTTTATTTTTTTAATTACTTATTGTTTCAAAGCTGGTAAACGATGATGAAGTTTAATACTTCATCAATCATAATCATCTTCATCTTTATAATCAAATACGAAAATATTTATCGAAAAAATTAAGTTGTTAAAAAAATCTCGCAGTATTTCATAAATAATGTAAATTTCTAGCTTTAAAAGTCGACCTTTGGATTATCCTCAATAGCGGTAAGACTGATAACTTTCTTCATAGGGAAGCAGGAGTTCTCTCAGGATTTACTGTACAGTAGTTTTTCATTTTCTTTCAGCAATACATTAGCATCTTTTCTAAATGCTCTTCCAGTTTTGAAACTATTAAGGAATGATTTTGTACAGCACAAAATTTAAATTCACATAATCCATTAATGATTGCTCATTTTCAAAATATTCTAAAAGAAAGTCTTAAAATGTGAGGGAAATGTAGAACAGCTGTCAAATCAAAGAGAAGCTTCGTAATTCGTCTCTAATAATGTTCGTAATTTGTCAAATTGTTTAGTTCCATTTTTATTTGTATATTAACAAGTTGTTTATTTTTAATTTAATGCTGTATTAATCTCATAATATAAAACATTTGTTCCTCTGTCTATTAATAATCTAAAAAAATTCATAAATTTTTACTATGTCATATTTTATATATATTTAGATTGCACTCTAAGAAATAGTTACCATAAGAATTTCCAAAAGTACTTAGTTGTTTTGATTTATTTTGTGAATAATTTATTGCAGATAATATATAAAAGGAGTATTACATTTCCTATGGAATTCTAAATTTAAAATATACTTCTTTTATGTAGATTTTGTTTATACGTAAATTATAAGCTGTATGATATCTTAGCACCTTTTCTTTTTACACATTTGCAGTATTACTACGATTTCGATCAACTGAAATCCTTTAATGAAAGTATCCTTCGAGACCCTGTAGTATCTATTGAAACTCGAGGAAAAGTACCGAGGAAGCCTAGAGTTTTTCAGGTGTTCATAACATGCCGTGGAAACCAGAGCGGAGTGGGATCATTTGGTATCGGCTTGAGGATACAGAACGACAGGGGACTCTTTTTACCAGGAACGCCATTAAGGCTTCGATTACAGAAGCAGTGCGCCGATCATGGTAAGTGCCACTAAAAACTTCTCAAATAAATTCATAAATTACGAAGTGCTACCCCAAAGTAGTTGAAATTTGGTTAGCTTACTCTACTATTTCTTTTCACAGCCGTTTCCTAAGATCGAAAAACCTTGCAGAACCTATCTTTTTAGTAACACTTACAGCACCGCCTTGCGATTCCTTCATCATTTCATGTAAAATACTATTGTTTTTCATCACTATCATGCAGCAATCCTTCTTCGTCGAATGAGAGACAATCATTACATGACAAACATTCATGATAGACTTACAGCACCGCCTTGCGATTCTTCCATCATTTCATGTAGAATACTGTTCTCTTTCATCACTATCATGTAGCAATCATTCTTCGTCGAATGACATTCATAATTGCAGGTTAGATGCTGATGCGTGATGGACATCCAACTGTAAGAAAAATTGCAATTAATTATTAGGCTTAAAATGCATCTTGCATTGACCGGGACTGGCCCGGTTTGATGATGTGGTCCCTGCTTTCCAGGAGTTTCAAGCCATTCGAAATTTTAAATCCAATTAAAAGTAAAAAGTAAAATGTAGGCCCGGCCTAGTTGTAAATTAAACTTATGAATTTTTGTGGATGATTAAACGTCAGAATTTTGTAAGGATCTTAAGTTTTACTAACGTTTATTTTATTTTAAATCTTTACTATCACTTCTTATTTTCTACTTCCGGCCAGAATTATAAAGCGTTTAACTTATTTATGCAAAGTTTGTCTGGCGAACGCCAAGTACTTAAAGTTGTGGCTTTTTGCCAAGCGAGAGAGAGAGAGGAAGCAGAGTTAGTCGAAGCAGGCCGCTTACCTTAGAAGTTTTACTCAGTTGCTGGTTGCCTTCCAGGCCAGAGGTTTAATCCTCTTGATAATTTTAAACGTATTGTAGTGTTCACAGTTCTCTGTACTACATACGGCTTCCTGTTAATATAAGGCCAATCTTCCACGTTTATTATTTAAAAGTTAAATTAGAGTTTAGTTTATTTTATTATTTTTACGTTTAGACCACAAGTAGTGGGTCGGTCTTGTATTCCGAAGTACGGAAGTTATTGTAAATAGAGAAAAATAAAGGGTTTTGTATACCCTTCTTGTGTATCCTGTCTACTTCCCACAGTTATTGAACATAGCTTTAGTAAGCTCTCTGTTCCGAGTCAGGTCCTTGCATGTTCCCGAAGAAAGTAAGACGGAACATTGAACCTGATAGTGGCGCCCAACGAAGAAGAATAACCATGGCCGAGTTTCAAGAAGAACCTGTGCTGCCTGCAGAAGCGGCTCAGAATCCAGAAATGCCAGCTGCCGCCCTGGAAGGATTTGGTTACATCGTCCAGACCATGCGCGCTTCGATGAAACCAGAAGCAACAACATTTAATGGAAACTCACCGGTAACCAGTTTTTTGGAAAAATTGGATGACCACTTCATGCTCTAACCCGTGCACGAGTTTCAAAAAAGTTACCTTAGCTACCAGCGCTTTGAGGGGCCAAGCGCTTAACTGGTTCAAATGTATAGGCAGAAGTCTCTTGGGTCAAGCAGGAAGTCCCACCTATACTTACGAAAATTTCAAGACTGCCTTAGTAAAAGCCTTCCCTGTCGTAAGGGATCGTGCAAATCAGAAACGGAAATTTTCAGCATATATCAGCAAAGAATCGAAAATCTTTCAAGCTTTATTTTAAGAAAAATTCACGTCTTCAAACTCTTGTATGGAAACCGTCCGGATCCTGAGATAATTCAAGTGATTTTGCCGAGGTTACTGCCCCAAGTGCAAGACTTTATTGAATTAAGAAATCCGACTACACTGGAAAAGTTATTTGAGCTAGCAATCCAGTTTGAAAGTAGAAGAACGGCGGACATTGAAAGAAGACGCCAATATCAACAGCGAAACCAATTTGGTGCGCCAAGACTACAGCAAACTCAAGCACACGGCTACGGAAGCAAAGCGAATCAGTGGGCAAGGAAACCCGAGCATTCAAAAACAGCCGGCGAACGTCGACAGTTCAATAGCAATCCAGGAAAAAAGTCTCAAGGCCAGTGGAAAAAGAAGGAAAGCACGGAAATGGAAAAATAATTTAAACTAAAACGGATTTCTGCTGACGGGAGGGTGCGGAAATCCGAAGGCCAAAAACCCCTCTTCCTTCAAGTTAAATACAGTAATGGTGAAAAATTTGACTCTTCCGAAGATTGAAGTGTTGGTGAATAATATCCCAGCCACCGCACTCCTGGATACAGGCGCGCAGTGTTCCTGTGTGGCAGAAGATTTTTTTAGGAAGTATTTTCGTAAATACCGCATATATAATTCGGATAATACGACAGTGTTAGCGGCGCAAGGAGAAAAATGTAAGTGCATAGGTAAATTACCGCTTTGTATGTCCGTATCAAGGACGAACAAGTAAAGGTGATGTTTTTTATAGTAAAGAATCTGCAAGCACATATTATCTTAGGAATAGATTTTCTTTCAGAGGCACAAGCAACGCTGGATTTTAATGAAGCGTCCCTTAAGCTGACGAATGAAACCAGTTCGTGAAGAAAAGGCTGAACCGCCGATGTTAAATCCTTGACCACCTGCCTAATGAAGAGCAACGAAGAATCCGACAAGTGGTAAGTGAATTTGCTTCGTTATTTAGTGATATTCCAGGATTTACTCAGGTTACTAACCATAGTATTGACACCGGAGATTCAATGCCAGTTCGCCACAAAGCCATACCGGTATGATAAGAATAAGGAAAAAATTATAGAATGGCATATTACCGATATGCTACGTAAAAAGATCATAACGCCCATCTCAAGTAGTTATGCTAGCCCGGTGGTTTTATGTAAGAAAAATAATGACTATCCTTTGAACACATCCAAAAAGGTGGAGATTCGCAATTGACTACCGTAAATTAAACTCCATAACTAAATATCCGGTATATCCGTTACCTATTATTGAAGAAATTCTAAGGAACATAACATCACCAAATATATGACGACTTTAGACTTAACGACTGGTTATTTTCAAATAGGGGTTAGGCCTGAGGACGTGCCTAAGACTGCTTTTATAACCAAGTCTGGCACTTATGCATTTTTGCGTATGCCGTTTGGCCTTTCAGGGGCCCCGGCAACATTTCAGCGATGTATGGACATTGTGTTAAGGCCTGTTCTTGGAAAGTCCACATTTATCTATTTAGACGATATCATTATTACTAGTGATAATCTCGACCAACATGTACAGGATTTAAGACAGGTGTTTTCTTTATTAAATGAGGCCGGTCTAAAAGTTAATGTCGAAAAGTGCAAATTTGCAGCCCCTGAATTAAAATATTTAGGTTACAAAATATCTCAGAAAGGAATCGAGACAGACGAATCAAAAATAATCGCTGTACAAAAGTATCCGACTCCAAACACGGCGAAGAAGCTCTCTTCTTTTCTAGGACTTTGTTCATATTATAGGTCCTTTATAAAAGATTTTGCAGCTATTGCTGAACCATTGTTAAAATTAAAAAGGAAAAAGGCAAGATTCTCGTGGACGGCCGAAGCCAATAGTGCTTTCGAAAAATTAAAACAAGCATTAACGCAAGCCCCTGTGTTGAAATTTCCTGAAAAGGATGAGAATTTAGAAATTTCAGCGGATGCTTCGGATTATGCGGTAGGAGCGGTACTTTCGCAAAATCAGCAGCCCGTGGCATTTTTTAGCCGAACTTTAAATCAAACACAAAGAAACTATTCCGCGACCGAGAGAGAGGCACTTGCAGTTCTGTTAGCAGTGCAAAAGTTCCGAGTCTATTTTGGAAAGGCGCCAATAACAGTGTACTTCTGATCATGCGGCGGTAACTAGATTGTACTCAGGGAAAAAAACTTATCCCCAAGGTTAATAAGATGGGCACTCAAGCTACAAGAATATAATCTGGTAATCAAGCATACCCCCGGAAAGGAAAATATCGTAGCAGATGCCCTATCCAGAATTAAAATAGATGAAGAAGGTAATACTGTAAAGGTGGCAATGCTCACAGCATGTACAATAAATTCCCGAGAAACTGTAATAACCGAACTGGGTAAGGATCCTGAGTTTGGAAGCATTTATGAGTATTTAAAGGATCCTGAAAATTTTAGCCACCAAGATATTGTGGCGATAAGAAATAGGGCGGCCCATTACGAACTAATAGATGGTCTATTATTTTATACAAAAACTACGAATTCCAACAACGAATTTCGACCTGTTATCCCAGCTAGTCTTAGATTAAATATCCTGCAGGAGCTCCATGACAGCCCTTTAGCTTCTCATGCTGGTATTCGAAAAACTATCCAACGCGTACGCGAGGCAGTCTATTTTCCTGAACTGCAAAAGTTAACAAGGGCGTATGTCCAGTCCTGCCCAACATGTCAAGCAGTTAATTATATTAATTTCCGCCCGGCCGGGTTTCTAAATAGTATTAAATCCGAATTTCCAAATGAAATAATTGGCATCGATTTATTGGGCCCTTTCCCAAAAAGTCAGTTAAATAAAAGTCGCTATCTCCTTGTTATGGTTGATCATTTTAGTAAGTGGACCGAAATTGTTCCCTTAAAACGAGCCTCCGCGAAATTAGTTACTGATTCTATTTTAAATAAATATATTTTAAAATACGGGGCGCCCCTAAAAGTTATATCGGATAATGGTCCTCAATTTGTAAGTAATATATTTGAAGACATGTGCCAAAAACTGGGCATACGTCATTTAAAAATGGTCCCGTATCGGCCGCAATCAAATATAGCGGAACGGGTCAATAGAAATATAGTGAAAATTATCCGTAGTTATGTTAAAAATTTTCATAAAAGCTGGGATAACTATGTCAATGAATTTGCTTTCGCCCTTAGGACCGCAAAACATGATACAACGGGCAAAACTCCTGCTGAGTTATTTTTAGGCAGAAAGATTATAACGCCGTTAGATAAATTATTTTATGTGCAACAAAGAGCCCCAGAATTTAAAATGGGTGATATATAGAAAAACTAATTAAAGAAGCAAAAAAGAATACTGAAGTAGCACAGAGAAAACAAAAGCTTATTATGACTTGAAACGACGGGGAGTAACTTATAAAGTAGGGGATGAAGTTTTAAAAATTAAGCATTCACTTTCTTCAGCACCAGAAGATAAAACTGCCAAATTTTTTTCACGATTTGAAGGACCATATGTCATAGAAAAAATAACACACGCTGTAGTAGTGTTAAAAGCCAGAAATGGTGAAACCTGCTCCGCAAACATTGATCAAATCAAAAACTATTATGATCGTAATAAAATGAAAATTTTCAAAGATCTTTTGCAGGACCCGGCACGGCAGACACCGCAGGCACAAGCTCCAGAGGTGGAAAAAAACGACAAGTACAAGGGCAAGCCATTAAGAGGCAGGAGCAAGTGAAAAGAAAGTTTCCCCGCGGGAAAAATTGAAGGTAACAAGAAAAAGAAGCCGTTCCACCGTCCAGAAAAGAGAGAGCTCACGAACACCCCCAGAATGAAGAAGGGAGAAGGACGACGTATGCAAAGAGAGCCAGGAGAAATGACGGCAACTATAACCCGGCTCTAAAACGGAAGATCTACTCATCCGACAGGACTCTCCGCAGCAAATGTCGCCGAACTGCGGAAGGGCCACCAGCGGCGGAGGAAAAGTTACAAGGAAAATTTGAACGGCCAGCAACGAGGTCCAAGCAGGAACACGAAAGAAGTTTCCCGGTTCCGCCAAGACCAGCTGCCATCAAACGGCCAAGACCACAGGCAGAGGCGAAAAAGAAGGTATTCAAGGGTGACCGAACTGGTGAAAAAAGAAAGCTTCTAGAGGAAGGCACTGAAGGGCGAGCCCGTACAAGAAGGAGGATAAATCAAACAACAACTATCTGCACTACCTTTAGGACTGGGCCCAGAAAAAGAATGTCCGAATATCACAAAGATAAGTAAAATTTTATGTTACTTTGCAAACTTAAGTTAATCTTTCATTCTTACTGCAAGTGGCAGATTTCAAGAAGTTTTACCTCATGCGAGGTCTACCTTTATCGCCAAAAGGGCGAGAAATGAGTTGTTACCGATTTTGGTATTATGTTTTTCAATTACTCGCGCGTAAAACTAAAGTTGATGTATAATAGCGAATGTGTAAAGACTTAAATATGTAAAAGTTATTGTATAAATTTTATTTAAAACATTCTGGCAAGAAAGAAGTTTTAGTCTGAAAGACTTTTTGAAATGTAGTATTTTCAATGTAGAAGAATTGGCACTTGCTTTGAAAAGAATAGAAGTTAACAATGTACTACTAATGTATGTTTTCAAATGTGTAAAATTAACGGCATGTTAATATGTTCTTATATACAATGTGAACTGTTATTTTAAATGTTAAGAAATACCGTGATATGGTAAAAGTGAAAGTAATGTTAAAAATTTGTTATTCGTGTGACTGTAAAAAGATTAAATCATGGTGAATATGTGTTAAAGGTTGAATGAATGTAGTTAGGCTCTCTGACGCTACACTTCAGAGTTAGCCACTTTCAGAATAGTACCTCAGGGTTTAGAGTTGAAAGTAGGGTGTGTTAAGAGGTCTTGGTATGTTGAATTTTAACACGTTAGTGTTTTGATTGTAGGAGGAAGTGTTGAACACGTATACATAAACACATTCGTGTTTGGTGTTCTTTTACAACACATGTCAGAGAGCACGGGGAGAGATAATTAAAATAGTCATGAATGAAATAAGAATGTTAAGAGAAATACACAGTTCAGTCACATTAATGTGACCACTACAAAGCCAGATAACCTTTGCAGAGTGACACTTAGACAGCGGAAGTTCAGTTAGTTGGTGTTCATGGATTTGAGCCATACCGACTCCAGTGTAGGAGCAGCTGTGCAGCTCTGGTTGAGAATCCATGCAGCGAACAACCCGATCAAGGAGGTCCCACAGATTCTCGATTGGGCTTAATTCCTGGCATTTTGCTGGCCAGGGGAGTACAATAAACTCATCTCGATGCTCTTTGAACCACGAATGTACAATGCAAGCTATATGACACTTCACATTTTCCTGCTGATAGATGCCATCATTCTGAGGGAAAATAATTCACATCTAGGGGTGAACATGGTCCACAAGGACAGGTGTTTATTTCTGTTGATCCATCATGTCTTCCACAATGATGAGTGCTCCCAGAGAATGGCACGAAAACATTCCCCAGACCATAATGCTACCTCCTCTAGCTTGGACATTTCTGACTGTTGTTACGGGGTGTTTGCTTTCCGACGTTTCACACCGTGTATTCCACTTCCGTCTGTCCAATGGAACATAAAACATGATTCATAAAAAAAAGCCACCTATTGCCACTCAGTGGACGTCCAGTTGCAGTAATGTCATGCAAATTCCAGCCTTTGTCACTGATGAACTACAGTCAGCATAGGTACTTTAACTAGGCGTCTGCTGCGGAGGCCCATATGCAGCAATGTTTGCTGAACCATCATTGAGGAGACGCTGTTGGTTACCCATTGGTTCATCTGAGGAGTCAGTTGCTCAACGTTTGCATGTCTATTTGCCTAAATGCATCTCCCGCATCCATCCTTCACCTCCGTCATCTATGGTTTATGGTGCATCAGATTTGCCACATCGCTGATTTTGGATAGTGCCGTTTTGCCTCACACGGTATACTTTTACTACAGCTGCACGTGAACAGTTTACAAAATTAGCCGTTTCGTAAATTCTTCCACCTTTGGCCCAAAAGCCAATGATGTTGGCCTTTTTGGATGCTAGATAAATCGTGCCATTTCTACACTATGCCAATGATTGCAATGTTTTTTTTATTCTCTCGGCACCCTTTATATACGCTCCACTGCAATGTGCTGCCACCTGCTTTCTGTGATTGGTTATTTCACATTGACGTCAAAAGGAGTTGGTGGTCACATTAATGTGACTGGACTGTGTATAAATATGCATGTTACTTGCCATTTCATTGTGTAACATTTCATTAAACTAGTTTTCCTTCCAGATCTCTGGAAGGAACCAGATTTGAATAAAAGCTCCTGTTTAGATGCAGTACAGATGAAAAAAATTGTGTGTCCTGGGAGCTGCTATTGTAAAAACAAATTTCTTTCTTTTAAATTTCTAGTTTCTAGCGAAAAATGTTTGTAAAAGATTGACCTCGCGTTACATTCTAGAGCTAAAAGTTTTCAACAAGGTCGTTTCAGACCTCAGTTTCAAACTAATTAACTCTGGCGGGAAGTATGTAAGGATCTTAAGTTTTACTAACGTTTATTTTATTTAAAAAATCTTACTATCACTTCTTATTTTCTACTTCCGGCCAGAATTATAAGCGTTAATGTATTTATGCAAAGTTTGTCTGGCGAGCGCCAAGTATTTAAGTTGTGGCTTTTTGCCAAGCGAGAGAGAGGAAGCAGTTAGTCGAAGCAGGCCGCTTACCTTAGAAGTTTTTACTCAGTTGCTGGTTGCCTTCCAGGCCAGAGGTTTAATCCTCTTGATAATTTTAAACGTATTGTAGTGTTCTCAGTTATCTGTACTACATACGGCTTCCTGTTAATATAAGGCCAATCTTCCACGTTTATTATTTTAAAGTTAAATTAGAGTTTAGTTTTATTTTTATACTTTTACGTTTAGACCACAAGTAGTGGGTCGTTGTATTCCGAAGTACGGAAGTTATTGTAAATAGAGAAAAATAAAGGGTTTTGTATACCCTTCTTGTGTATCCTGTCTACTTCCCACAGTTATTGAACATAGCTTTAGTAAGCTCTCTGTTTCGAGTCAGGTCCTTGCATGTTCCCGAAGAAAGTAAGACGGAACATTGAACCTGAGTCAACTAATTGCCAAATTTGGTAAAATAAAATTTGTGAAGAAAAGCAGATATAACTTTTCAATCATTTAAATGAAAAAAAAAATAATTTCCAAACAATAGAATTCTTTCTCACAAGAACAATTCTTTCTTTTGTTGAACAATTGTTTGAGAAAGAAGAAAAATTCTTTCTCAAACAATAGAATACATTTTCAGCATGCCAGCAACATCGTCAACAGTCAAAAGAATATTCATATATAAATCCATCCATATATCCCATATAAATTCAACGCCAGAGCAGAATTTTTTCGTTGTTCAGGAGCTTAACTGATTACAGGTTGAGATGTAATTATGCGTTTAATGTTTAATAGTTAGACTTAATTAGAAAAAGGCAAAACAATTTTAAAGTTAAAAATTCTGAAGTCAAAAATACAAAATTTAAAAGAATTTTCCGCATGGATACTAACGTACCCACTTTCAAGTATTAAAAAACATGAAAATGTAGGTTTAGTCAATGATGGATCGTTTTATTTCGAGAAGTATTGGTTACATTTACTGGTATAAATATGCACATGATTTCATAAATGAGGACTGTGATATAAAATGGAGAAACTCAGAATTTTCATACTGTTAGTCATTTGCAGCTTAGCCCCTATCATACTTAATAATTAGGAATTTAAAACTATCTATAAAAAAGCTTAACTTAACCAATTTTTAGTCAACTGTAATTTGAAGTTGTAAAGTCTTTATTAAAATGTAACAAAGCAGAACTAGTTTCTTTTTTACGCCATCAGAGAATTCGTGTAATGAACAGCATTTCAACGTACAGGTGTGCAATTAATGGAATTTCCTGATTTTTAAACTATGACACTTTTTTCCAGGTCCTGATCCGGAATGTGACAAGAAATGTGCCAACGGAGGCAGATGTAATCAGCATCGAATTTGTGAATGCCCGAAAGGTTATATGGGGAAATATTGTCATTCGGGTAAGTATATTTTATACTGAATTAATAACGAGGTGAAAAAAAAAGATTTTTTTTAAACTCCTGTTAAAAAAATGAAAAAGGAAAGAAGATAATGAAAACATTACATTTCTTCCCCAAATCTTCGCTAATATGATGGAGGTTTATCGACAGTATTATAAAGAACAGTGGGCCGCTTAAAACTTAATTTGAGATATCCTATCGACAGGTTGATCTTAGAGAAAGATCTCTGATTCCTCACAGACCTTCGGCGTGGTCTCAAACTCAAATTGTATGCGAGCTGAATGCATGATCTAAATACAGCTGAAGGGTCAGACATTTTTTTCGTACAAAATGAAAATTTTTTATTAACAAAGCAAAAAAATAATATAAATAAAATTAAAATTTTCTCACTAAATATTTACCAAGATAGAGATAAATAATAATTATAATATCGCAAAGAAAAAATTAAAATTGATATTTATTTTCTGTCTGAAATCTAAAGTTTGGTACCTGCATAACATTTTTCTTGCTTACGGTTTGTAAATAGTATATTAGCAGTAATTATAATTAATTAATCATTAAATAACTTACTTTTATTTAAAATAAAAATAAACAAATTATGAAAAATTTTACCAAGAAGGAGAAGACTGGAGAGTAAATAAGGACAACTTTTTCTCTTATTTTATTAATCTTCAACGCATAAATCAAAATACGTATGTTGGCGTGTAATTACTTATAAACTTCTTTATTTCTTGCAAGTGGTTAGCACTTGATGGCATTTCGATTGTGCTAAGGTTCGTAGCTTTGGAAAGAAATTACTAGAAATTGCCTTCATCACAGATTGCAAATGATCATCAGTCAGTTACGACTGATTAGCATAACTCATTACTTTTCCCATGATTAATGACCTATTACCTTTCTCAGTTGAAAACTTCTTATTAATTTTCAACTATGTAAAGAAACTAATCACATATAAATGCATTTCCAAACAAAGCAATCAATCTTAGTTCGAAAATTCAGAAGAGCATATTTATCATTTTGACAACTACAAATAAATGCTAATAAAATCTGTATTTTCCAATCTTTGAAGAAGATTCATTTTACATTGTAAATTAATTAGCTCCATTTATAGCTTTTTTTTATATGTTATTCATGTTTTTTCTTAATGGCAAGGAAAATAATGTAAATTTGTGCTTCAAATAACTAAAATCTTAAAAACTTTGCAATATTATATTTCAACTAATACATAATTGAAATATCTTCGCGGGCGCATAAAATTGCTTCAGGGCCTCATGCGGCCAGAGGACCACTAGTTTGAGACCACTACTCTAAAGAACGCTTTTGATCAAAACTTGGGATTGAGTGAGGTAGATAGTCTAAGCATATCCGGGTACTCTTCCTAAATTAAGCAGTTGAATCAAATGAAAAGCGTACACACAGGTCTTGCCAAAGAGACGCAAATTTTCAGAATGATATTGAAGATTTACACAATACAGCAATATTTATCATAAGGATAATGCTAAGTCTTTTGTTACGAAACTGCTTTGGATTCCTGAATCAATTAGCATCCAATTTACATTTGATTTATTTTTGTTTGCGCAATAACTGAACAATGTTTTAAAAAGAACATTGCCTTTAGTGGCAGGAATATTGCACAGTAAAGGTCATACGACACTTTGGTTTACTTGGAACATCACTTATGTGTTTTACTGTATACTGACTATAACATTAAAAATGCTGAAGGCGAAGTAAGTGTCATGAGCCCAAAATAGTAACCTTTATTGGAAAAAAAGTAACATCTTAAAAAATACTAACAGTGAGCTTGCGTATCTCTTTTGAATTAAAAAAAAGGGGGGGTGGGGAGTAAAATACATGTAAATCATAAAATTTATCTAATGATTAATAGGAGTTATTAAATAAGAAATAAATTGTAAAACAAATTGTATTCTCTTTGTAAAGACTTGAAAGCTCGAAAAAGTACCAAAAAAGTTGCTACTTAAAATACTTATTAGCAATAAGATGGTGTAGCTGTCATTTACTGCATTTGTTGCAAAATGTCCTTCTCCGTTAAGAAAATTGTTATAACTTTTACGTAAACATAGATTTTATTTCTTTATGAGTTTTTAATGAATTTTTCTCTGTTTTTAAAATTTTGGTTACAAAGGAACATTTTTTTTTTTTTTTTTTATCGGAAAGCCGAGTGTTGTAACACCTCCTTTCAATTGAAAGCCTGAACTTATCTCGCCTGATAACCAGTGCTGAACAGGCCATATTTTCCCCATTTTTTTTTTTTTTTTTTTTTTTTTTTTTTTTTTTTTTTTTTTTAGAATTACTTTAACTGAACGAGGAGATCGAATGAGAGATGTTTAATTTTTTTAAGTCCAACAATTAAATATTAAATTTTCAGAAATAAAAAAAAATCAATCACCCTTCCCCAAATTTTAATCTGCAGTGTCCTAATTTCATGCATGCCATAATTTTAAACAGGATTGAACTGCTTAATCAGTTTTTATGAAAGTCTGAATAAAATGGTGAACCGTTTTTCATGTCAACGAATTTTTATTCTATCTACATCCATTTTTATAACATACGTTTGTGAATTTTCGTCATATATGCATTACATTTCCCCAAAATATGTGATTTTTATTCGAGCAGCATGAATGCAAAATATCTTAAAAGTGTACTCAAACAGAGCATTATGCATTATAAATTCTATTTACGCATGTGGAAATAGTTCTTAAAGTTAAGAAAAAGTATCAGTTGAAAACGTGTAAAAGAATAATATACACGTGACTGATTTAAATAGAATTAAAAATTGACTGCAAAAGAAATGAAAGTATGGGAAGTATATTAAAAGTTAATTTTTAAATATAAAACAAACATCGTTTTTATTTATGTACTCTAGTATCGTTACAGTGCGTTGTAAGAACTTCTGAAGAATTATTTTATTTTTCGAAACTATTTTTGTAGTATTTATCTATGACTTAGAAATCCGACATTACTTAAAAATAAAATTTAAATTATACCATATAATGCTCCGTTTGAAACATTTCTAAGATATGTTTCTCGCATTTTATTCTGGTAAAATTCATTAAGGATAATTTTGATATATATTCCTTGTTACAAAATATAATTATTTCAAAAAATTATATCTTCAGGATGTTTATAATTGAAAAATGCGGTTTAAAAATTAATAATAAATCAATGTATTACTTTATATGGGCAAACCTTACAGCATAAGCAGCGGCAACTGTCCAAGTTTTTGATGCATTAATCACAATACTACAGTATATGCACCCTTGGTCCCACGACACACAGCTACACAATAATCAAATTCTTTCATTTCGGTGTAGCATGTCCGCCATGACGGTCTGCAGTGCGTGCTTTATCCAACCACAAACTTCCTCAAGGGACCCGGATATTGCGGTACTTAAACTCGGTGTTTAACAAGCCCCCAAAGAAAGAAATTGCATGGCATTAAATGCGGCGAATGAGGTTGCCAGGGGAGAAATTTGTTGCCTGCTGTTGCAGCGCGTCCAATCCGCGAAGCACTCGTACTTGTGAAAATGGAGCCGAGCACCGTGCCGTTGCAAAATGTAATCCAGATATTCAGCTATATGTGTTCAACTAGGGTAGCAGCTAGGTTTCCAACATACCTTGAAATGAGTCACCGATAACAGTTTTTTGTTCGAAGAAAAATGGGCCGTGCACTTTCTCTCGGGACAGCGTAAAGAAAACGTGCACGAAACTCAGGCTGCACTGAAACCGCAGATCTTAACACCTCGAAGCCCACCAGCGGCCGAGCGGTAAAGTCGCTGAACACTGGTAGTTCGGTCCGAGGTTCGAATCCCGCGAACGGGCTGGCTGCATGGGCGTTTTCGTGGTTTTTCCATATGTAACGTGTATACGAGCCAGTTTCCCTTAGAAAGTCCTCCACGAAGGCATCCCTCCCCTTAGGCAGATAGCCCCTCGAGGCTTTGTCGTAATTAAATAACCTAACCTAACCTAATCTTAACACCTCAAAACGGAGCACACAGAAAGCCTTTTCTTGTTGCGGCGCCGTCTTAGAAACTGACGCTGCGGCTGCGCAATAAACAGAACAAGCAAACAGCAGGTAGTACATGAGAAATTTGGACAGTTGCCAATGCTTACGGTATAGGTTTAACATGGGTACGGTAATATTTCGATTTATTATTAATTTTTAAAACCCTGACATTCATTTATAAACACCCTGTGTAAGGAACTTGAAACATTACTTGTATATTGCTGGTAAATCTACGAACAGTGCCATCGGTCACCATTTTTGAGACTTTCACCACGAGACTCAGTTCCAAATAACGTTTATATGGCTTCATTAAACTAAAAAATGATTTGATTAATTTTTTTTTAATCTTCAGCTGATGTTAAAAATTCTGTTGCACGATAATATACCACAGTTCAACGCCTTACTCTGTCATCTCCTCTTGAATGAGTAGCACTGAAGCTTCCGCTAAAAGATCTTCAAAAAATAGAAAATTATTGCACTTGATGCACACGTATTGACGCAATCACCTTGGTGCAAGTTTGCGATTTTTTATAGATGAAAATCTAAAAGTTACCTTTGGAGTATTTAAAAAAAATTCTCAGACTAATCAATTTAAACGATATCTATCTAAATCGGGAAATATTATTAACACATGAAAAGAAAACACGAGTTAGTAATTTAAAATACAAACTTTAATTATTAAATTAGGATTACGTGATATATTAAAAAATAAGACACTTACATTCGTCTCTGAATCTTTCTGTAATTTTTTTGGCACTTGTCTTCCTAAGTATACAGTGATCTGTTTTCTCTTTAAAAACATCAGAGAATTGCAGAGATTCTTCATCACCCAAACCTTCGCAACACGGGCTATTTAGGAAACGGATCTCCTCGTTTGTTTCTTTGGAGATTTTGCTGCAAAATTCTGTATTCCTGCAGAAATTTTAACGCATTTTGTTGCATTGCTGGCAAATCCTAGCTAACATATTTTAAAATTACGTTTGAGGCAAAATATATCACAGTTTATTCATAAAAACCGTTGGTATACAACAAAAAGAACGCATACAAAAAGTGGCGACGTTGCTTGACTGAAGGATATATATGAGCATGGCTGCCTGAAGAATGGTTATGCACATGGTTCTCAGAGCTTGGTACATTCTGAAAATTTGGTGACGTCAATCAATATAAGCCTGTAGTGATAAGAAGGGGTTGCGATAACACGTAGATATCGTACACGTGCTGCTAAAAATACACAGTATAGCTCAAGAATTTCTGATGGCAAAAATTTCATGAGAATGACGCTTCCTGGTAAGTAAACTTCTGCTTAAGAAAGCAGCACTAAGCCAGCTGCAAACAGAACTCTTTCACTGAATTAGGTTCCACCAAAAGAGTGCTAATTTACTAATTTTGTAGCACTACCTTGTTAAATTGAACATCACCAAAGAGTTTAGCGACAATTGAACTTTGCATGTTACACAGCGTGCGATTAAATTTGCTAATTTTTGAGTTACTACGGTGGCCGCTTTAACGTTGAAGTACCAATTTTATCAACCTACGTCGATACTTACAGATCTAATACACCAGTTTATCAAAATTACTTAAAAATTACGCTATGTTTGCAAATTTCTCACAGTAAAGAATATGATATGAAGTGACAGTGAAAGACATGTATAATGCAAACGCATATAAATCTTTATATAAAGTTGTTATAATAAGAGACATTATATAATTAAATAGGAATAAAATTTTATTAAACTGTTTTCATAGTCGAAACGACTTTCATATCTGCTTTTCATAAAGTAATAGTAAAATCCTGCTGTATTATGTAAAAAGAAATCATTTTGAATTAGATTTGCAGCATTAAAATAGTAGTATACACAAATCGCGTTTTTTTTTAACCGCCTCAAGAAGGGAAGGAACAACGCTTTGAGCCTAATTCATTAAACTCCACCGTATGATATGAAAAATGCTATAAACTGGTATTAACACCATGTGAAAACGGAGAAATTTTATCCCGAAAAATAATACTGAAAAAATTAGCCAACGTTTTGAAATATAGGGTTGTCCGGAAAATAATGTAGGCTTTTGCATTTGTTATATTTCCTGAAAATTTTTAGCAACAAAAATATTTTGAATTACATTGGTTTATATATCATTTTGAAGCTTTATTTTCGCTCTATATTTCTATAATAATCATTTTGTTCCAAAATTGTTTTAAAAAATATTTACTAGGTGTTTTTGTTTAGATGTCAAAACGAGATTTTCTGCAAATTTACTTTTATGAGTAGCCACAGCGCAGCACAAACGGCTCGAAGTGTCAACGAAGTATGGGGTGACAAAAGTGTTAATGAATCTACAGGTTCAATATGGTACTAAAAGTTTCGTCGTGGAGAATTTGACCTGGAAGATCAAGAGCGTCGTGGACGCTCTTCAGCTGTTGATGACGATGATTTCAAGATTTAAGTTGAAACAAACCCGTGCATAACTGTTCGAGAGCTTGCGGAGGAGCTTGACGTAAGCAAAAACAATGATTTCTGATCACTTGAATCGTATAGGAAAGTCAAAGTAGCTCGATAAGTGGGTTCTTCACGAATTGAAGAGAAAATAAAAGAAAATCGCCGTTTTGAAATGTCGTCTGCTCTTCTTCTCCGCAACAAAAACGATCCTTTTCTTGATCGAATTGTTACGTGCGATGAAAAGTGGACTCTCTCTAAGAACTTTCGACATTCGGCTGAGGGGCTGGACCGCGGTCAGACACCATAAGACTTTGCAAAGCCAAATTTGCACCAAAAGAAAATTATGGTGACTGTTTAGTGGTCTCATCCACCACAGCTTCCTAAATCTGGGCGAAGCGATTACGGCAGATAAGTACTGTCAACAGATCAACGAAATGCACCAAAAATTGCAACGCATGTGCTCGGGCATTGTTGAACAGAAAGCGGGCCAGTTCTCCATGACGATGCTCGGCCGCACGTCATGCAACTGACCCTACAGAAAAATTGAACGAATTGGGATACGAGACTCTTCCTCTTCCTCCCTATTCGTCTGACTTCTCGCTGACCGATTACCACTTTTTCAAACATCTGGATAACATTCTGCAGAAGAAATGTTTCAGAAACCAAGACGAGGTCAAAAACGCCTTTGACAACTTTATCGCGTCCAGAACTCCAGAATTTTATTCTTACCGGCATAAATAAACTTATACTTTGCTGGCAAAAATGCATTGATTCGGCTGGTGCTTATTTTGATTAATAAAATTGTTTTTGAGTTGAGTTATGATACTTTACAGATATAGGTTAAAAACTCTCAATACTTCATTTAGAGAACTGAATTTCTCACTTGAAGTCAAAATTATATCATTCAACACTCCTTCCCTGTCCCCTTTAGAACTTCGAAGGTTTAGTTTTACGTATGTTTAGCAAGTTTTATGTTGAAATTATTGTTAAGACTTCACGTTTTTAGAATATTTTTCATACCATGCAAAATTTGAGCACCTCGCATCTTGTCATATTTGTTTCATAGACTGCTAGTCTTCAGTTTATTGTATATCGAAGGACACCAAGCTAGTTTTCTGTTGTTAGCATTATGAAGATGATTTGCATTTAAAATTTTAATGAATATTAAGTTAAAATAACATCTGTATCTCTTTTTACAGCCCTGTGTTATCCACAATGTATGAATGGAGGCACTTGCGTTTCACCTGGATTATGCGCTTGCAGCGATGGCTACCAAGGACCTCATTGTGAAGGCGGTAATATTGTTAATTCATGTGATAAATATCCAGTTAGTAATGTATATTCACTTACAATAATGTGATGTTAACCTTAAAAATTGAAAAGTCTGCTCTGTCGTGCGGAGTGTATCAAAAGTATACTGTTGTGTGAAAGAGAAGCAGTTGCTGAAGTGTGTAGAATATGCATGATAATTTGAGAAAAGTGACTGAAAGTCTTCATATCCTTCAACATTGATTTTAGACTTCTAGTTCTAATTACAAGACTTCTTAAAACAAGATACAGAATTTTTAAAGACAGTCCCCTGCAAAACTTTCGTCGGCAATATCTAATTTTAAAAATGCGTCATTTTTTTTAATGGACGCTATTCAAAGCCCAAAAGATAGCGAAAGATAATGAATAACCAGGGGGAAAATACTTAAAATTTATGCTTTTTCAGTTTCTCCTTAAATCTGGTGAAAATAATTAGTTAGAAATAAGCACAGAAATGTGAGTAAATTCAATTTCAAATATCTCTACTAATTAGGTTTACAATACTAAAAAGGTTTACAATACTAAAAAGGTTTACAATTCTTTGTATATATTTAAAGAATAATGAAAATTTCACAAATTGGAATTACTGTAAGAAGATCATGTAAAATGAAATTTTATATCCACAAAATCTTCACAACTCCATTACCCTTTTTCATCTTATTAAAAGTGACTTTACAATACGGAATACATGTCTAGGATCAATGTTTAAGGAAATAAAACACAAGTCATTAGTTCTCAGCATCATGTATAATTTATATGTATAATATGCTTTTGTATGTATTTTTAGATATATCTTAAAATTAGTTAGAAATATGCTAAATTTTTCCTATCCAAATAGGAATGTGCCTTGAAAAATGCTTAAATGGCGGTAAATGTATAAATAAAGACACTTGCGAGTGTAGAAGAGGATATTATGGACTTCGATGTGAATACAGTAAGTGTGTTTCTTAGTATCAGTGTGATTCTAATTGTAGTTTGTTTCTTAGTATCAGTGTGATCCTAGTTGTAGTTATTTGCATGTTAAATGTGTTTTACATGCAAATAACTACAACTAGGAATATCTTTTTAAAAATAAATGTTGCACATTTTTTAATGTACCTAATATTACCTGGCTCTTTTTAATTTTTGGAATTACAACTACTATATGCCTCAAAATTTCGCGTACAAACCTCAACATGAGAGATCATCAGTATTAAAAATATTCAAATTGGAAAGTACGACACACTATCCACAGGAGATTGCAGAGATACAAAGACACATCAATAACGAAATACGAAAAGTAGTGTAAAGCACTTTATCAGGCAAATCTTAGAGTACGACAGCTGCTACACATAGAATACAATTTTACAAGAGGGTTTCAGTGTTCCAACCATTTTGTCGCTTAGACTGCCAGATATTTCCAGAGATACCTAACCGAGAATAGGTGAGACACGACTAGAGATCAGTTAAATATACTCCCTTCCCCAAGAAATAAAAATAAACTGTGGGTTCAAATCTCACAAATAACCACAATGGCGCAATACCTCAGGATATTATACGGACACTTATTGAATCAATGCACCATCGAATTTCAGCAACGCACCACCCAAAATGGGGTGCCCGCCGAAAACGTCGCTGCAAAATCATGGCTGACGAAATGTTGCGGAGAAAACAACGTAAGGAGAAAACGTCCTGGTACAAAACATCGCGGGAGAAAACATCGCAAAGAGAAAACATCGCAGTTCTAAAATATCGTGGTCGAAAATAAAGCGGTTCAAAAACTTCGCAGTTTAGAAACATCGTCGTCAAAAGTATTCGTGGTAAAAAATAAAGTACCTACAAATCATCGCATGACGATACCATCGCACACATGCGTTTTCAGGTTTTGAAAGTTGTAAATGCATGTTCATATAAAGATCAGAGACGTCAGGAAGGAAAGAGGGATTCTTTTACTTCTATATTTTATATATTTGAATGAACCAATAAATTTTTGCTGAAAAAAATAAGAAGGAAACTCAAGCATCTAAAAATTGAAAATGATTAGAAATTAATGCAACTTATAAAGCTTAAAAGAATTTTAAATTTAAATACTTAATTAACAAAGGTTATTAATAAGTTAAGCATTTTTTTATATAAAGTTTAACTGATAATTTTTCATCAAAAATACAGTCTACAAATGCTTAGAAAAAGGAAGATAAATAACTGCATGAGGTTACCTCCATAAAAATTGCATAGTTATTTGATCAAATTCTTTTCTGTCACATTTGTTAATCTGATATTGTTTTAATGAAAATTACATACAGTTTTGTTTCCGTTTATTCTTAAAGTATCATTAGTATTTTCATGCATAGCGTGCAATCAATTTTTTGGATGTCGATTAGTTAGTTATGACGAAAGTCAGTTACATAATATGTCACTATGCGATTTGAAAAACGCATGTATGCGATAATTTGTAGGTACTTTATTTTTACCACGATATTTTCGACAATGATGTTTTTAAACTGCGAAGTTTTTGAACCGCTTTATTTTCGACCACGATATTTTGTATCACGAGATTCTAGAACTGCAATGTTTTCTCCCACGATGTTTTGTACCACGACGTTTTCTTCTTGCGTTGTTTTCTCCGCGACGTTTTCCTCCGCTATGTTTTTGCCACGATGTTTTCGGTCGCGATGTCTGTAACCCAAAATGGAGATCTAATTATTAGTTATCAAGCTGTCTTTTAAACCAATGGAACCTTTTCTACATGAGAATTTAAATCGTTTGTTTTGCACCTTTTGGGCTATGTATGTGCGCCGTTTGGTTTGTTTTTGAGTATTCTATTCTTTGGCGTTTTCTGTCTGGCAGTGTATTTTTCTAGATTTCTCGTGAATTTAAACTTCTGTAATCAGTCCGTGTCTACCAAAAAGTGATGAAATGTATGTTTCTTGTTTCGTGTTAATAGTTTAACATTTTAATGTACAAGCAAATAGATTTTCATTTTTCTGGGGAGGGGTAATGCCATTAAATTGCACTATGAATGAAATGTAAGACCGTCCAATTAAGTGCTTTATCGTTGAAACTAACTTAGCTTTGTCTTATGGTAGAAAATAACCATGTATTTCATACTTTTCTTTCAATAATTAAAACAAAAATAAAAATTCACTCTATACACAAATTTTTATTACTTTTTTATGATAGTAATGTTTTACTTAGCAACTGGATGTCCACCTGTGCATAGAATCGCAGAATACAGTGGTAGCTTGACACGGCTTCTTTTACTAGCGACTAGTTTGCCGGATGAGCTTTCGTAATTTTCTCCATTTGTAGCATGACTTAAGAGCCAAAGTCCTTTCCAAACCTGAGAAAAGTATACAGGGAAAAAGGGCTACTTCTGTGTTTCGGCAACCGAATATGGAATGTGTTTTATTAGAATCCAAATACTATAAGGAATCATGATGGAAAAATTTCATATTTATTTAAGATTAGATTACACAACAAGTTTCAAGTTAGTTTTGTTTAATTTAGATTAGCGATTTTAACTGTGGTCCGCAGACGTGCGATTTTTATTCAGTTAGGAAAAATTGAAATAAAAAATGCATGCTAGTGATTTAGGATCCGATGAAGTATAAGAACTCGATACTAGATGCAATGTTCGTAGCATTGTCATCGTAAGAATAAATCTCTGAACCCAAATGGTACACACATTTCTGATTTGTGCATTGCTCTTTGTTAAGTACAGATGTATACTGCCTGCATACACAGGCAAGAAAATTATTTATATTTCTTATTATATCTGCAATAATTTTTTCATTTTTAGAACTTTTTTCTGTTAATATTAATTACACATGTATATAAGTTATTATAAAAGTGAAGTTCGAGAAAATTTTTATTTTCATGCTAAATTTAAGGGAATAATATTTCACATCTTAGCCTGCTAGATTTGAAAGCCTGTGCATTTCTTAATTATCTCCCTTTCCCAATTTTCTTTCTTTCTTTCTTTCCTTTTTTTAAATATGTTTTGATTTTTTAAGAGGAAACTGAAATAGTTAGATTTATGAAGATGTATTTGTCTTTCATACTAATAAGCATACAAGAATAAAACAATTTATTTTTTATCTAACAATTGTTCATTTCGTTATACATGAAACATGGTGTAAATTTAATTTGTATATTAAAACTTTCTCCCTTCACAGGTAAATGTAGTGCTGTTCCATGTCTAAACGGAGGTCGTTGTGTCGGAATAAATAAATGCCGGTGTAAGAAGGGATACGTTGGTGCTCAATGTGAAGGACTGCTTGACAGACCAAGTCTTGAAAAACATGGTATATAATTTTCATGTTACTTTTATAAGCGTATTGATCATTCTTCAATATTCTTTAATATTATATTATTGCATATATAACTATTAATAACTAATATTGTAATAATGTTATAAATTAGTAAATCAAAACAGGTATTCAATGTAAATTTGTTGCTTGCATTAATTTATTGGAATTTTAAATATGAGTTAAATAACCAAATTGAATCACTATTGCATGTTTTTTGGGTTCGGATAGTCTTTGTTACCCATTTTCACAAAAGCTGTATCATCAAAAACTGCGCATCGGATTACAATAAAATTAGCATTTTTTTAAACAAATGGCGGGCACTTGCCTATAACGGCATTAGCCACTACTAAGGCCAGAAGCGGTGACCATTTTATTGTGAAGGCACCTAATAGGTGGCCACCGTTACCTCCTATGAAGGGATAGACAATTTTACATCCATGCCTTCTCCGGGATTCGAACCCGGGCCCTTTGGTATCGCAGTCAGGCTTCCCTAATCACTATACCGTCTGGGTGGCTAAAATTAGCATATTGATTCCTTTGACTATTACTGATGAAAAAGAGCACAGCTGCAGTGTATTTTGCATTTTTCTGTTTAGTACATATGCAATCAAATATATATTTCTACCTGTAGAAACTGATCACTGAGTAGACCTGCGAAACTGATTATTGTCTTGCAACTGAATTTCACCGATATATCTTAAAAGCATTATATGTAATTTACTATTATTTTCTGAGATATAGCCATTCATACGGAAAAGAAGATCATCATACAAATATGACATTTAGAAGATTGTCAACCACGTTACAAGAATTAGTAAAGGAAGTCCATAATACATCATTCTGAAGGGGCTCACGTTTTGTAAGTACGGGTGTGGCAATTCCGAGGTACCCTAATCCTTCAGGAGATCATCATCTTGGTGACACGGGTGTCACGATCCTGGAGCTCCAGTGATCTATCCTCTTTTCCGTCTACTTCCCTCTTAGCTGTAACTGTTTTCCTTTCCTTCTCCTTTTTGGTTTTTCTAATCGGAAGTTGGGGCTCGTTTTGAAAATTGGAATAACTCTTATCTCTAGTTTTTGAGTGGCGAGAAAACTGCCCACGTGCTTGCCGTGGAGCACCGTGTCTTTGGAAAGAAGGGTCCTGGTAGTTGAGGGGCAAGGTACCGTCCCCAGCATGCTGTTTTGGCCTCTGCTTCAACTTGCAGAGGCATTAGATATTTTAAAGGAAGCAGGATAGATGAAAATAAGCAAACGCCTTCGCCGGGAATCGAACCGCGGACCACTGGAATATTCGCCCATGGTGCAGACCACCACACCACAAAGGCATGCCAAGAAAGCGGGAGAAATACCTTATGAATTAAACGGAACATAGTTTCTGTCCGCACGGATGTCAATCGAAACATTTTCTTTTCAAACAGGGCTTTTACACAAAATTCAATAGTTTTGATTCCACAAATTTAAAACGTCCAATGATTCCTGCCACTGGAATTACCGAAATAGCTAATGCTAAAATAATACGTAGCAAATGCCAACTAATCTAAAAATTAAACACATTTCCTTGTGATATCTAGTCCTGCTGGCGAATTGCAAAAGATGTCTCCCTTTCTGATATATAAACACATATAATCAAGTGGGCCAAGAAGCATCTCCGTTTCCTCCAACATTAAGCATCTCCGTTCGGAAGACATACTTATTGATACATCTTCGGCCACCCAGTCTGCTTACCTTCTTCAAATGATTAATCTTGGAAAAACCTCTGTCAGTATAACGAAACATAAAATATTGAATCTATGTCGCGGTGAGACTTTGGAAATCGACCTTTTGTTTGTGTCTGAAGAGGAGTTCAAATTTGTGCAACAAAATGTCTGTGGCGGATCAAGATGTGTAAGGAAATTCAGTTGATTGGCTTAAAGCATGTAATTCTGAACTTCAACTGCTCTGCCTAAAAATATTAAGAGCTGATGTCTTAATTGTTCTGTAAGACCTTATATTTCCAACCTATGCGATGCTTCCAATGTCAGCGTTTTGGCCATTTCAAGACGTCCTGTCGTGGCAACCTTACGTGCGCTCGATTGTTGTCCGGTAGCAATAATTGCACCGCTGCGTAATGTGCGTAAATTTCAAAGGGGAACACCCAGCATTTTCTCATTCGTGTCCCAAATAGAATTCTGAAAGGCAAGTTCAGGCAACAAAAATTACAAGGAATTTATCTTATGAAGTCAGGAAGATAGTAGAAAGTTCACAAGTTCTCCAAAATTTATCTTTTGCCAGAGTTATTAAGTCTATTAGATCAGTTGCCGTTCAAACATCCAACTTTTCGTCAGAAAAAGGCCAAAAACCTCCATATAATAATATAAAACAAGAAAGAAGTATTCATATAATACAGAAAAAAAAAGGGAACAGTAATTTAGAAAAGTCCGAACAAAAGCTTTGTCTATTTATCTATCACTTAGGTTTGAAAATGTCTGACATGTTTTCGGCGCATGGAACTTTTAAGATTTTGCGCCAGAAAACCCACTACAAGCCCTGCCATAACCATAATCAGCCAAACCATAATGCATCATCCAGACGTCCATTAATATATCAAATTATATCGCGAGCATTATTTTCTACCATTCATTGTCACAAACATCGCCCTCTGCCACAAATCACTTCCACTCATTTTATACAAGTATCAGAGACTACGTTAATGCAAAAGATAAAGACATTGCCAACAAGATTAGCACTGGCTGACAGCTAGAAAAGACAAATTAGCTGTAATTTAAGAACCAATTTATGGCGTAAAAAATAGCATTAAGTCATGGAAGCCGTTGACTTAATTGATTATGTCATAAGTTCGGAACAGCAAGAATGCCAAGTCTTAGCTATGTCAGCAAAAGTGCATCAAAAGGACTGCATTAAACCTTTTTAGTTGGTTACCTTATTAATATCTAATTTATTTCTTTTTAAAATTTAAAAAAATAGATATATTCCAAAAATGAAAGAAAGCAGTAGTTAAAAACGGGTTTAATTATTTAAACTGCCTTTTTGAATAAGACAAACATCAACATTACTAAATAATATGCACTACAGGCTATACTCTGCAAATTACATTTATGTAGTTTTTGACTTCGCACTTAACACTATTCCTTTGAAAGACTCCAACTGGACTCTTTTGTATTCAAATACAATTTTGTTTTCTTGCAGCTGAAAACTAGTCGCTGAGAAACATGTTATTATTTGATAATTTACTCTTGGCAATGCAATATAAATCTTCCATCTGTCTGTTAAAATTAATAAAATCAGACATTTCAGTTTTGTGAAACTTAATTTATTTTAGCATTTAAAAATACTAGTTATATTAGATTCATATTCTGAAAATACTGTCAAAGTAATGTATTATCCGGTTTTCACCTAAAAAAGGAGTATCACTGGTAGCCAATGGATCTTAAAATAAAACAGTTTAGAAATAACAATAATTAACGTTGGCTGCTCTAAATCTGAAATAAAAGCTCATTCCTATCTGGAAAGATGTATAGGCCTCGTCAACGTCTTTACTGAAATTTCAAAATGCGAGTACAAAGAGATTACACAAAGGAGTATACAGGCTATATACATTTATGCAGGTAGAGTCCTATAATGATGTAATAGTTATAAAAAGGAAATTGTGTATAGTGACTCTTCGTTCATGTATGAAAATTTCATAAGGTTCGATAGAGATAAATGACTTCTCTATATGAGGCATCTTAAAAACAGTCTTTTGTAATATTTTTTGAAAGAACGGATTTTCTTCTTTTATCAAAGCTTGGGCAATGAAGAATCACTTGAGTGACATCCGCTTGTGAATTTTGACATATTGCACTTTTCAAGGTCTACTTATTCAGATATCTTCCATATAATACTCGGTTTGTTATGACTGGAAAGAAGTCTGATAGTTGACATTTTGTAGAAATGTATCTTGTTTATCCTCCAGTGGAAATCCCCAAACTGGGGTTTTTGAAATCTCCTATTGAAGTTATTTCATTCGTGATTTTACGATGCGTTTCATTTAGAGTTCATAAAAAATCGGTAACGCCTGACAAGTTCAAGAACAGTTCATAAAAGTTTTTGTTTTATTTTTCAATTTCAGTAGTGTCATAGTAATATCTGCAGATACATAACCTTGCATAAAGTCCAAAGAAGTAGTCTACATTGCTTGTTACTCGAGACGTTGGAGAGGAATCAAAAATCATTTTGCAATGCAACGGATGTCTGGATGGTTTTCCTTCGTTACATAAAGGTTGCCAATAGTTTTAATTGATAACGTTTCTCGTTTGATTATGCAAGGATGTTTTTTTTTAAATTTAAAAAAAAAATTATTTGACTAATTCAGGTATGTAAAACGTATTTCCCACAAACACGTTTTCTTACGAAAAATTTGAAGTCTCATATATTTTTACGATTTTTTCACAGTCAGCAGGCCTTATTGTTTTCGCTTCTTTCTTAAACTGAATATATGAGCTCAGAGCCAACCGAAATATATTTAATCATGCGATCTTTTCAAAATTCCTCATATCATTTTCAAAAGGGAGCAAAATCCAGTTTTTATCCTTTCCTTATAAGTGCAACTTAGAATAGAAATTCAAGTGCATCTAGACAAAAGTTGCAGGTAATCATCATTAAATTCAGTTTGTTGCTTTTCAGAAACGCAGCATGTTCTGCGCTAACCAGGCAGAGAAAAAGCTTTGAAAATGATATGCGCATTTATGAAATGGCAGCGGGGAAACTCTCTAAATTTATCGTTTCGGAAAAACTGTTTGTGAAGCTTGATTCAGGAGGGGGACTAATATTTGCTTGTTTTAGAGGAAACAAAAACCCACTTTTTTAAAAAATTACTTTTTCTACCTCTTATAGATAGGCTGTGGGCTAAAAGCTACACCTGAATGCCAGGTACTGAAATGAACTACTTTAGAGGCTGTTTTAAGTAACCTGAAAAATGATTTAATTTTATATAAAGGAAGGAAGGCATATAATATATAAAGAATTTGTGTTATTGTTTATAATATTTTCTTGTAAGCATAGCATATCAGTATATTTAGAGAAATAAAATTTAACTTAATTTGTTTCTTGCCTTGGTTATTTTAAAATTTAGAAAATCAAAGTATTTTGTAATCTTTCTAGTAAGCAGAAATCGTAAGCAGAAAGTATCTTTTTTGTCTTTATTTAAATTGGTAAAAAAATTTTCTTTTTCCAGCATTAGCCTATTATAGAAAAAATTGTTTATTTTAATTTGCATGCGAAATAGTTTTTGAATTTTATCTAATTTATTTGTGATTACCAATTATTTGTGTACTTTTATACTGTGTATAAACAATAAATTATGATATCGGTTAAATGGGAAATATAAATTTTTAGAAACCTGCCATTTAATATGCCTCAGATTGTTATATTGCAATTAAGCGCTATGTTTGAAAAATATTATAAAATACAAATTTTATTTAAATGAATTTATTTTTTACTTTTTTTCTGTCCTTCTATTTCAAAGTTTATCTACTTTTTAAACTGACTGAAGCTATCAATGTCCTTTCTGAAAGTCATAAAATGGTTACATTTTCATTAGAATTTTAATTATTGCTTCTGTTGTTATCAGCTTACAAGCTGAGAGTCATTTATAAGTGATTCCAAGCCCTATGGCATCGAGCTGTTGGGCTATTTAATTTTTTTTAAACGTATTGGTTCCAGAAAGTTGCAAGAAGAAATGTGCTCACGGAGTTTGCCACAACAAGCGATGCGTCTGTGACAAAGGCTGGTTCGGCAACAGGTGCAATAGGCGTAAGTGACTGTACATAATAAAAGGCACCAAAAATTCAGTTTCTTCTATTTTTGGGTAAAGCTGGTGCCTCAGAAAAGAAAACTAGCATTTCAAATTACCTGTTCAGAAGTTTGGAATTTCCACTTTTCAAAACTGAACTTGAACTTCAAAACTGCATTGCATCTTGGCCTGCTTATGCTCACTTAGTTTTATAAATTATATCAATCTATGTACCTTCTGAAGGAATTACGTTATTTTTCCTTTTGAATATGCTTTGAACTAATGTTCTATCATTTAAGTATTTCTCCTAAAGATTAAAAGAAAATTAAAAAAAAATCCTCTAAGCATGGAAGCTAAAAATGTGCACTCTATCCAAAATTAATTAAAAAATGAAATAAAATTTTAAAAAATGCTAGTTTTCTCGTATTGCTATAAACGTTAAAATATTTGTTGAAATATATATAAATATTGTGAAACAGATTTTATTCAAGTAATTCAAATTTCTGGTAACAAATTCATATTTTCTAAATCCTGATTTCCAATAGATGTATTTTTATATATCTAACAGCAACTTAAAATTTAATAAAAAGGTATTGTTCTTTCATTTTAATGCAATGACAAATATATTTTGGATTTATAGCAATACTCGTCAAATAAAATTGCCTACTTCTCCTCTTCTGATGGCTGTGGTGTCTTCTTCACTTTATGGCACTTGTGGGTACTTTTGAATTTTACTTATATATCTTTCTACCACTTTCCCAATTCTCTGACTAATTATATTTTGACATCTTCAAGCATCTGTATAACTGAATATTGTTATATTTTGGCCATGCTTTATCTTTTGTGTATGCTTCAGAATTATTTAGTTATGTGTATTTTATGTTAAATGATTTATATTTTATTTAAAAGACTAAACCATGCTGTTGAAAGGAAAATGTATTGAAGACTAAAATAATTAACTGAATACTGTATTACAGTTTTGTAATTCAAATAGTTTAAGAACGTATAAAAAGTATTATTAGTAGTTATAATACTTCAGTTTTTCAAAAAGAAAAGGGAGATTTTACTCACTTGAAAAGCTGCCATTTTTTGTCATACCAAAATGTTACGTATCACGAAGAAGGAAAAGGTAAAAGATCATGTTCTCACGTTAAATTACCTATTCAGGGAATCTGAGCATAATTATTTCTCATCACTGAATTGGTCGAAATGGACAAAATGACTTTGTGTTATAATCTTGTCTTTTGAGATCTTCAAACTTGACCCTTGAGACTTTTTTCTCTGGGGACTTTCTACCCTGTGAGGACCCGTTTTACTCACCACATTACCTAAACCTTCGTAGAAGGTAGTTGCTGTAATGTGTTCCACAATAACTCTACGGGTGCAGTGACTGTGTCGGTAACTGAATTTAGCTATGATGTATGTTAATTTTAAAGATGCATGGATAGAATATTTGCCATGACAAACTTACATTTTTTCTTATTAGGTGATGTATTACTAGCTTATTCTTGCTTATGGAGTAGTAATAATTTTGAAAGTAAAATCTACTTTTTGTTTTTGAAATATCCTGTAATAAGGAAGATAAGGAAAATTTAGAAGAAATTCAGTGGTCAGTGTAAACTAAGTAAATAATTTTTGAACTTATCATAGAAATCTTCTTTTAGTTTTCCAGGAGTGGAAAGGAGTTTTGACTCTTAACGCATTCTATATTTAAAAATTAAAGGAGTTGCTGTAATGGGACACAAAATTTCAGAATTTTTGTTGTAACCTTGAATCGCATAATAAATATGCAGCTCTCAAAAATACACTCATGTCCATAAATTAAGGATAATGCAAAATCAGGCAAAGGAAGAGTTAGAAGCAAAATAAATTTGACTTATTTGTTAAGCTTATTTATTAAACAAAAGGTAAAAAGCAAAAAAAATATGCTATATGTTTGATATTATTAAAAAAAGCGATTTTTTTCCCCGGAGCAAATTACAAAAAAAAAAAAAAAAAAAAAAAAAAAAAAAAAAAAATTCTATGTACAAAAAAAAAAAAAAAAAAAAAAAAAAAAAAAAAAAAAAAAAACCCAATATTACATGGTTGGTATGATTGTTAATACATTGTATGTCTCCCAGACGATGCAATACAGTCCGTACAACGCCTAGCCATGCTGAGTATCAATTTATCGATCTGATCTTGGGAGATATTACACCACTCAAAAAGCAATGCTCTCCGAAGTTCCGGTAGACATGTAGGAGGAGGTTGACGGGCTGCAACTCGTCGGCCAAGCATGTCCCACACGTGCTCTACTGGATTCAAGTCCGGTGAGAATGCTGGCCAGTCCATACGGGTGATATCCTCCGATTGAAGGTATTCGCTTACGATTTTTGCACGGTGAGGACGGGCGTTGTCATCCATAAACACAAATTGTGCGCCCATGGCGACCCGAAACAAACGTACATGTTGTTCCAGAATGACGTCCCGATAGATTTGGCTTGTCATGGTTCCAATTTGAACATGCAGGTCAGTTCTGGAACCGAGAATAATTCCACCCCAAACAAGCACTCCTCCACCACCGTAACGGTGTCGTTCAATGATGTTTTCTTGGTGGTAACGGGTATCTGGAGCTCTCCATATGAAAGTCCGGCGAGAATCAGACTGCAAGCTAAACCTGGACTCGTCGGAAAACATCACACAAGCCCACTGTTGCGGTGTCCACAATGCATGCTCTTTCCTCCAGGCTAACCGCAGGCGACAGTGAGTTGCAGTAAGTGGAACGCATCTGACAGGTCTACGAGCATATAGACCAATCTGCCCTAAGCGTCTGTACACGGTCTGCCCTGAAATTGTCGTACCAGTGGCTGAAGAGAACTGACGAGACAGGTCTGAGGCTGTGCTCCGCCTGTTTCTTTTGGCAGTAACTGCCAAATACCGGTCCTCATTCGGCGTTGTAACTCTGGGACGACCTATGCTGTAACGTCTACTCACATTACCATCATCTTGGAATCGTTGCCAAAGCCTGGAGATGACACTCTGGGAAATTACAAGTTCGTCTGATACTTACAGTCGGATACGCCCACATTGCAGACGGCCGATAATTCTACCACTTAAAAAAATCATCCAAATGCGTCCTTTGTGTCATAACTATTCGGTTATTGCACCGAAATACTTATAAAGCGCCTGCGAACAATTTTACTTCTTTGCCTGTATTCCTTATATATCACTCTCTTACACTCTCGTCATTGTGGCGTACCATCGATGTCATCTGGTTACTTCCTGAAATTTGCATATGATTCTTGAAGATGTGTGTAGTGATTTTACAGGTGATATATTTATTTTAGAGTTCGATTTCCGCGTGACTCCGAATTATCCTTAATTTATGGACATGAGTGTAAATGCATCATAATATTTCAAATACAACATAATATTTTTGCAGCGTCATAATGCAACAAAATAAAGTTATGTCATTATTATCAACAGTTTTGCCTAAACCAATTACTACTATGCAGTTCTAAGATACCATTGCTTACAAAAAGCATATCGCTTTTAGAGAATGCGTGGAAAATCTGCATTTAGAGTCTAAGAAACGCAGCAATTATTTTTATTCTTTGAGGTATGGAATAATAAAGAAAATGTAATAAAAATTGCTTTAAATTATAATTTGGATGACTTTTTTCGCTTTTTATATGAGATTTTTATGCTATTAATTGTCCTTTTAGTTAGATATGCTTCTTTATTTTAAATAAATTATAGTAAAGCAATATCTGTAGTTTTCATGAGTGTTAAAGATTACAAAACGTACATAGATGTTCAGTTATGGAATACTATTTTGTATAACAACAATTTGGAGGGGGGGGGAGAAAATTTATTGTAGTTTCAATAAAGGAATTCTATCTATTTAACAGTATGGTTTCGTTTCAGGAAGGCCAAAAAGAAGGCGGCAAAGAAAGCTTTTACATTAAACATTAATTCTAATACACTGGATTCATCAACTAACTGCATTACAAGGCATCGCATGGTGGTGTTACAAGCAAAAGGCGTTCAACTGAATTTTCAAAGTGGGAAGGCTTTGCCACTTAAAAATGTGCCAAATCTGCTCATCAAGTTTCACAGTGATGAATAATATGCTGAATTTGATATGCTATTGCCGAATTCATTGTTTATGATATTATTCCAATAAGATCATATGATGCATGTTCTCTGAGCGACAGCTTTCCGAAAAGCAAAATTGGATCATTGTCACCCCCCTTTTGAACATTTGTATATACATATATTATGACAATTTCTCGCAGCAAGACTGTTTGGGACATACTACTCTAATGCGAGTTTTACAGAAAAGTATGAATTTTAATTACATCCTTTATATACGTTTCATGCATATATGCGGGAAAAAATGCTACTAAAAGCTGTTTTTCACTTTTTTTTTGTTGAAAGGTAATTGTACTGATCATATAATTTCATGTAGAAATGGATGAAGAAAAGCATACATAAGCACACACAGGTCACACACACTAAAAATAAAGTTTTTACGATTATGTTAAAAAGGGGAGAGACAGAGGAGGATACTTTTTGAAATATACCAAAATATAGAAAACGTTTTCTACGCATAGTCTCATGAAAAATTCAAAACTTTTATCAGATTTAATTACCACTAATGATTTAAAGGTTTGAAAACTATTTCACGCATGTTAAAGCTCAATTTGTTTTAGGAGCTCAAATATCATATTTTAGTCACATCTGTTCCAGAAATATAACTTGAACAGAAGTTTTAAGTTAGAAAACTTAATCTCTCACTAGCAACAAATTCTTGGAACCCGTCTCAGATTTCTGGTATTAAGCGTTTTGTCCAAAATATATATTCTTATAAACAGCATGATAAAATTATTTTAACTAATAAAAATCCAAGTTAATATAACTGCTAAATATTTTTTAACTTGTGTTATTCCTTTAATTAATGCAAATGAGCCCGCTTTTGACTATCGTTTCGAAATCTTTCGTTGACTTATAATGGGAGTGGCCAAACTTCAGCTCAATTGAGTTGACCGTATGTTAGTTAGAGTTCAGAAATTTCAAAATATACAAGTAGATATACAATGATCCATAGCTCAGGAGAAAATTTTCCCATAGACCAGGAGGACATTTCCTTCTGACAATAATTTTCAATTAATTTTAGCAGATGTAAACTTAAAATATAAATTTGGAATAATAGCCTCTATAATAATATGAAAAATTTCATTCGAGGGAAGAATAAAATGGTAATTTTAAAAATCGAACTAATAATACTTCTTTACTCTTAGCCTATACACACTCCTTTCGAAGGACAACTGAGGAAAGACAACTGAGTACAAATTGATGTCGAAGTAATATAAAAATTATTGTAAAATAAACTGCCAACTTACCAAGTAATAGTTAAGTTTGTCTGTTGCAAAAATAGCACCACCAGGCGGTAAGAATTAGAAACATTTTTTTGATTTGTTTATTAAAGCATGGGGCATACTTTGATAATGTTTTGAAATTATTATGCGCATGCTCCAGTTTGAAAAATTAATTATTAACAGGTACAAAGATGTGTCGTGATGGGAAACAAGTTATAGTAATATTTCAAAACAGAACTAGATTCACCATCAGCTAAAAAGTGAAAACGTCGGGTGGTAAAAGTCGCTGAACACTGTACTTCGACCTGGTTTCGATTCCAGGTGAGCCGGCTAGTTGGGTGAACGGTCTCGTGGTTTTCTCCATTTGTAACGTGAGTACAAGCCAGTTTCTCTTAGAAAAAAGTTCTCCACGAAGGTATTCCTTCTCTTAGGCAAATAGCCCTCGTGTGCTTTGCCATAATCAAATAAACTAAACCAGAACTTATCACCAGGAGAGCTTCATTTAGTAAGACAAAGAGCCGACAGTTTGGCCACGCCTGTTATTTCATACTGAGTAATAATTTAGAATTTATTCAGTTCAAAATAAATGAATAATCTAATACTCATTTCATACGCATTAAGAAATGTAACTGAAAGGTTAATTAGGAATAATAAGATTAATTAGGGAAATATTTTACTGATTATTTGAAAGGTCGGTGTATAACGTTTCTCATAGATGTACTCTTTGTATTAACATAGTAATTATAACATTATATATTAACATTTTTAAAAGATTAATTGGTCCAAAAATGTTCCTTTCATCTTTGCTTTCCTTTCCAAAGATTCGCTGTTAATTTAATGTTAATGTCATTCATTGGACCCGTACGAAATTAACTAAAATAAAGAACTGCCGATTTTATAATTCATGATTACGAGATAGAAAATCGTGTTTAATAGCAGCTTATTTAGTCGTTCAATAGTCGAGAAATCTTATTTAACAACAATTTAAGAATTTCTAGACATTTCTTATTTATTAAAACATATTATCCATTTTCAGCCTCTTAGACCTATAAGCCTTGACCTACTTGCAAGCGATACCTACTTACGGATATAATGACTTACCTATAAGCGATACCTACCTACGGTATGCAACTTAATGCATTACTTTCAGAGAGTTCAAATGCTTATAGAATTCACTTGCTAGAACAGATTTTTACAACATTCTCTTTGCTAAACTACTTAATTCTGATTACTTAAATTCCTGGTTGTTCGAACAGTGATGTTAAGGGATTTAAATTACTGTAAATGGTATTATGCATATAGACATGCTGCAGCTTCTGCATTTTCTTAAATCAAGGCTATCGGAGCATTAGGTTGCATTATCTCCCTGCAAGACGGGCAACTGGACTTTTCAGTGTATGTGAAAGATTTATTAGACATTTCCCTGTCTGGAGAAAGAACTGGGAGAAATAAGTTGAGTCCCACGTCTAATCCACGAATCTTAATGCATTAACTTCTAAGGTATTTTATATCAAGTAACCAGTAATTATGATTTAAGTTTTTACTGTAACTTCTCATTTCCATATTCCTCACCAGAGTGAGTGAGTGAGTGAGTGAGTGCACCGCTATGATGGCTTCCGACCACGGACATGAACCAAACGGAATTATATACCATCACGGCGGGGAAGACTCCAGAGTAACAAGGTTGAATATTATGAACTAATAACAGTTTTTACATATTGTTAACTGCAAGGCACTAAGCGTTATTCTGGTTATCTGCTTTAAGTTCTGAACTTTTGAAACATTATATTATCCACGGTTGTTTCTGCTTAGGCAGTGTTCTGAGATTTTCTCTATTTTATCAAGGGCTATTCTGTTTTTGAGTGTGTTAGTCGTCCACATTGCCCAGGCACAGTCCGCTGGTTTCTTCAAGTGCCAGGTTCTTGTATGTACACAATGGAAGTAATAATGGTCCGTGTCGCCTTCCTCTCCGCATTCGCAGAAAGGAGTATCCCTAAGTCTGAATCTGTTCAGGTATACTGGGAATGGTCCATGACCTGTCAAGAACTGTGTTAGGCTAGCACAGTGGGTCTTTATTTCCATGTTAACTTTTGGCAGTAAGCGAAATGTCCTTCGTCCTACCTCTGCCTCTGTCCATCTACTTTGCCAATTTTGTAGCAGACTTGTCAAAGTTGTTCGCTTAATATGAGACCAAGGAAGTTTAGTTGGTCTTTCTAATATATCCGTACAGTTGGCTGCCTGCTTGGCCAGTAGGTCAGCGGCTTCATTGCCTTGAATCCCTGTGTGAGCGGGAACCCATTTTAAAGTGGGTCTTTGCGAAATAGGCATTGTCAGAAGCTGTTTCTGAATTCTGTATACCAATGGACTCCGGCTGTTTTGACTTGCGATAGCCGTCAGACTTGATGCAGAATCACTGAGTATGGACAATTTCTCCTGTTGACATGTGTTCGCATATCTAATTGCAGCACTGATAGCTAGAAGCTCTGCTTGGTATACCGAGTTGTTCAAGCCTAATTTCCTTTTCCACTCGAATGTTACAACTCCATTTTCTAGTCTACAGAAAGCGCTGCCCGTGCCGTTCTCAGTTTTGGATCCTCACCAGAATGCAAATTAGGTTTGTGCGTATTTAAGCTGACGCTTCGAATGTTTAGATAAGAGCTTCTGGCAAGTACGTCTTAGTTATTCTCGCCAGCTCTGCTTAAAGTGATATTCCGATTTTATAGCCGATGTTTTAAAATAGTCGCAGATTAAATTCTGAGCCAGCGTAATTTACTCATTTTTATGTATAGTCTTAAAGTATGTTATCAACGTTTGGATTCAAATTGTCTGTTGTGTCAATTTAAATGTTCACAAGTAGTAGAAGTTTCGTCTGTAGCACAAGTTGTGGCTGTTCTGTTCAACTTGGACTAAATAAAAAAAATAATTTTAACCTTCTTCAGTATTCTGTGATTTTAAAACGAAGCGATAACTCACTGTTGTCTACCAGAATCTGCAGGACTTAGGCTTCCAGTTACACCACCACCCTACAAGCTCTTATTTTAGGTTCATAATGGATATGAAGAAAAGAGTCAGTGCAGTTGTTGGTACTCGAAGGTGACTGTTGTTCCTAATTTTGCTATATTGTTAAATTAAGCGTATGAAAAATACACTAATGCATCTTAGAATTGGTTAGTTAATAATTGTAATAAAATATTTCAAATACACCTCACCTCATTACTTCATAAGCTAACACCAAACTCTATCAATATTTTTTTCAACCTGAGGTTCTAATACCGTCCTTCTAGAATGAATACACTAAAAGGAGCTAAACTCACTCCATATTATAAGCTGTTAAATGTACAAAGGAACATTATAAATTTCAGACGCTTAAAATACTCGGTTTAAATAACAGAAAATGCAAATAATTCATTAAATTTAAATTAGTGTATGTTTTAATTATGGCTTGTGTTGTTTATAAATGATCATTACATTGAAAATGATTTTAATACCATACCGTAGTCTTTAAAAAGTTATATTTGTATTTGATGTTCACTTTGTTAACATGGGACCGAAAGAAAGTAATAATGTACACAAAAAAAGTATGTACATGAAACGTATTATTATTTAAACGTCATAACATCCCCCCTAAAAAAAGTGATAAATTTTTAAACACATTTCACTAGAAACTACAATTTTTCAGACAAGCCATTTAAATTTTTTGAAACATTGTAAAGTTAAAATGTAATTTATTTTCTTAAAAATTCAATGTTTAAACTTTTTAAGTTTGAATTTATACGCATTTCCAAAAGTAAGCTTCTTAATTTGCTTTTTAATCCGGGTGCGTATTTGAATTAATTTTATTTTGACTGATTTAATTGCTTATCCGGACTAGTCAAATTTGAATCGAAGTGGAATCGAACTCTGGGGAACATAACTTAGCCCTATAAAAGATTTAATCTTAAATGATAAAAAAATTTGAAACTTTAAATTCATTCGTTTCGTCCGGCTACATGTAAAGAAATAACTAAAAGCAGTTCTTATGATATTTTGTTTGCATGAATTTATT